TAGCAGGATGAGCTCTTAAATCCTTTAAAAATTACATTGTTCCTTTCATTCCAAATCTACCAGCATATTAATAAGGTTTTGCCCAGGGCTGAAGGGCTTTTAGGTACCGTTTGGTACACAGACGGGACGAAACGGGACGGGACGGGACGGAACAAAGATTTCGTGTCATGTTTGGTACTAGCAAGATGGAACAGAACGGAACGGGATTAAATGACTAACTTACCCTTTTTATTTGACTCTCCATCTCTCTCCCGTTTCTCTGCTTTCTCTTCTTCCATCCGTTTCGTGTTCTTCGCATGCCCAGATTGATCCCAGTAAAAATCAATCTCAGTAAATCAAACCCATACTTTCTCTTCATTTCATTTTCTTTCTCTTCAATTCAAACCCATATTTCTTTTTTTTTTTTAATTTCTTTCTCTTCAAACCAGACACAGAAAAATCCCAAATTATTATTTTAGGGAAAAACTAATGAAATCTTGAAAGTTCGTATTCAAACAACCATTTTTACTGTAAAACTTACAAAATTAAACTAAAAAAGGTGAAATTGAACAAAATGCTCTGTTCTTAGCCTCCACCAGATGCTCCTCATCGATGTGGCAGCAAAGCCCAACGACATCAAAATCCTCGGCGCAGAAAGGGCACAAAAACTCGGCCTTTAACTCATCGTCTCCGTCAGTCTCTTCGTGCGAAAACAAATCTGTACGACACCGGAGAAGAAGGTGGAGCGCAGAGAAGAAGGTGGAGCGCGGAGGTGATGGTGCCAGAGAAGAAGGTTGAGTGCGGAGGTGACGGCGCTGGAGAAGAAGGTAGAGCGCGAAGGGAGTGAACCGGAAGCCATGGTTTGGGTTCAAATGGGTTTGCTGGGATCGAATTCAAAGAGAGGGAGGCTACGGGAGAGAGGAACGAATTCGAAGAGAGGGAGGCTACGGGAGAGAGATAGTGGAATTAATGAAAAAGATGAGGGGTATTGTTGTCCAAAAAATTATAAATTTGTGTTCCACGGGATGGAACAACCCGTTCCAGGGGGGGTATGTGGAACCAAAATTTAACCCATTTTAGTTCCGTGGGACAGGCGTTCCACACAATTTAAGCGCACCAAACGTGGGACGGAACTCGTCCGTCCCACTCTGTTCCGTCCCATCCCACGTACCAAACGCACCCTTATTGTCACTAGCATTTAATTGGTTAAACCAACTATTCAAATTAGGCATAGATGGTCCAGGGGCCAATAAGTGCAACTGAAATTTCTCTTCATTATAACATAACATGGTTAGGCAGACCAGCCAAGTTAGATTTAATAAGACTTAACTTCCATGCACGAGAAAGGGTATTAGTTTTCTAACCTACAAGGTTTTTCTGAATTCTTATTAACGGGATCCTTAAAAAAAAAAAGCAATGTTATGTATTCCCAAGTATTTCCCTATAGTAGTATTGTGTTGAATGTGCAATATAGTTACAACTTCATTTCTCAAATGGTTAGTTGTATCATTCGAAAAATAAAGAGAAGATTTGTGGAAGTTGATCTTTTGACCTGAGGCAGCAGAGAATTGATTTAAAATTGGTTTCAGACTGCTAACAATGATTTTTGAAATTATTTTATAACTAACATTGCATAAGCTAATAGGTTTAAATTGGTCAATAATTTCAGGTTATCCACTTTCGGTATCAAAGCAATATTAGTAGGATTAATGAGTTTCAAGCTAGAACCATGCAAAAAGAAATATTTCACCAGGTTCACAACGAAATCCTTAACATGAGTCCAGCATTTTTTATTACAAAAAATAAAATAAATTTGCATGTGGTGTAACCCATCTGGTTTAGGGGATTTTAGGCCACCAATAGAGTTAACAGCTTCAAAATTTTCCTTATATGTGATCGCTTGCGAAAGATTAGCTTTTTGTTGTGTTGAAATAGAAGAACAATAATACTAGTCAAATCATTTAGGGTGCGTTTGTTGCACCAGATTATCTTGGACTGGACTACCTTAAGAGATTAAGCTGGATTGACTTAGATTAGACTAAGCTGGACTAACTTAATGAAACGTTTGGTACAGTCTTGGACTAAAAAGCATGATAACGAAAAACCATTACATTCATCATCCAAAAGACCAACAAAGCAATTCAGAACAAAAATCATACATTTTTTTTATATAAAATTATAAAATTTTCATTTATTAAAGAATGATGTTAGGAGCTGCACATGATATGGAGTCATCGAATGAAGTACTACGTTGTGTATACCAAATGTATATATATGTTCTATATGATTTCTATTTGGCTTACAACTCAACTCAGGATCTTCTCCCTTCTTCCAGTAACTAGTGGACTGGTGCACTTGAGTTTGGACTCTCAATATCTGTTCTTCGCATATCACATACGAAGAGAGCTTAACCTTGTAGTCGAAGATAAGGACATGCCAACATTCCTCTATGCACCTAGCATGTGGAAATACACTTGAGGTGCCGACTCATCCAGCTGGTTTAGGAGAGGTAAGGATTGCTAGTAACAAATCAAAGCTGTGACAATTCCTACAAGACCTTTGGCAAAGACGTCCTGCTAATGATTCAGTAATCATCACACGAGACATTCCCACAAGAGCAGCATAGAGTAATGGAAGAAATACAATGCAGAGCTTTGTGGAATGGCCTCTGTGATCAAACACTTTGATCTTCTCGGACAAATACCATGCAAGTAAACCAAGAACTGCAAATATAACTGAAGTATTTCAGCACAAGGAATCAAACAACAACATTTTTCTACATTTATTTACGCAAGTGAGATTAAATGAACAATTGTAAAAAGCAATTGAAATAGAATCAGAGGGATATGAACGGGAAAGTACAACAGACCAGACCAAAACAAACAACTGAACCCAGTGCATCAGGCTACTGCCATGGCAGCCATTACAAAGTAGATACATAGACAAACAATTAATGAATTTGGCTCTAAGTTTTCGGATTTTATTTATTAATAATTCACCAAAAACAACACCAAAACTCCAAAGCTCTGTATTTGCATCTCAATTCTTTGTCCTTAATACTAGTTTTCTAATCAAAAGCTTTGCATCTGCATCCAAACCCTTGCATATACATCAAATTGTGGACGTGATAGGAATAGACAAGAGCACCACATGCTGAGGCACACAATTCTTTGTCCTTAATACTAATTTTCTAATCAAAATTTGCACCATAATTATAATTTTACTTTCCTCATATAACACCTAATTATTATTGATATTAATATGAACAAATGTGCAGCCCCGTGCACCAGGCTATTGCCATTGCAGAGTCATTGCAAAGTACACAAACAAACAATTTGAACAACGCTAATCAACCACCTGCCTCGGACCACTTAGCCACTACTGATTTATGAAATTCAACCCAAATAAAAAAACATCCATAACCACAAAATTCAAGAAAACTAATATTATCTACAAAATTGACAATCTTTGAATTTTCATAGTTTTCAAACCCAAAACAACAAATCGATGAAAACCCAGTAATAATTTAACGATCTGGAAACAAAATCGAAGAAATAAATTGTCAGGTTCGAAATTTACCAGACCAGGAGTAGATGATGAGTATTAGTGAGCCCAAACAAATACCCCCTTAAGGTTCCTAGATGAGTATTAGTTGCACTTGAGATTCTTGATTTAAACTTCTGAACAAAAACTTCTTCCATGCCATTATTTCTTTCCCACCAAATACCATTATCATCTTTAATCTTTTGAATCTCATTTCTTTTCTTTCTAATAGTAGCCTAGGTTTGGAAGTATTTTGTATTCCTATCACCTATTTGAAGCCAATTAACTCTGACTTTTTGGACCCACATAATTTCCTCATCACGTAAGAGTAAGTAAGTTCTCATAAAGTTATTTTTCTCCCTAAGCCAGAAAGGGTTGAGGTTATTATTCATGATTTTAGTTTGGCAAGATTTTCCTGCAAATACTTAATCCTTAGCTTCACATTATCAAAGATTTATTATTCCAATGGGTAAACCCCTAAGCAGCTACCACATGTACGAGAACTTCTCACAACACCCATACAAACCTGTCATAAAAACGATATATGATAGATTTGTATAGGTGATTGCAAACAGTCGCCGCCAAATAGCGGGGCCACATAAAGTCATCACAGGAGCGATGCCACATAAAGTCATCATTAACAGACGACCACATAATACAACACTCAAGGCGAAAACCAAATACTGCCATCGTTGCGGTGCGGCGACAACACTCACTAAGTGAGGCAATAGAGCTAGACTAAACTAGCTCAAAGCTAAACTAACCTAAAATAAACTAAACTAGGCTAAAATAAACTAATCCGAGAAGGGAACCACAAAACGAACACCATCCGATGGAAGGATTGGACCCTCATGTAAGGAGCACAGTGGTGCCATAACACAAGATGGGTCCGGCTACCACATCCATAAATCCAGTGGAGCAACAACAATGAACCACAAGCGATAGAGGTTCTAGATGCGACCACCGACAAGAAGCCCAAACAAAGCCACTGCCAGATTTGCACACCCAAATCGAAGCAGCACCACCAAATAAGCATTGCACTCTAATTCGAGCGTGGATTTCGCAACTTCGCAACACCAAAGCTGAGTGACGAAGCGTGGCTTCAACCCTACTAGCAGTCGCAATTCCAAGCCCATATCACGTGTCATACCCCGAGGCAGGGAAGAGGCCTTGAGCAAGGTATAACCCTGATCTGGGGGAGGCATGAAGCTAAGTCAAAATGGTGGGAGAGAAGACCCATCTGCATTTGTAGACCCACCTAGAGCACAAGCACCATAACAAAGAAAATTTTAAAAGGGCAAGGTCCAGATCTGAAGGTTGGGGGAAAGACAAACGAGGGGAGAGGAAGGTGGAGGGCTGAGAAGACTGGGTTGGGGAAGATGGCGTAAAGAAACAGAAGGGGTGGATGGCGAGGTGAGGGAAATCTGGGATGGGAAGGAAGAATAGAGGGGAAAGGAAGAATAGAGTCCAATAACTTATTATCTTTCCATCGTTTTCCTTCTTCATTCCCAAACCAAACAATTTCCACTCTTTACTTTACCCAAGTATTGAACTTTTATAGATTCAATAAGAACACTAACCTCCATTGGAACCAAGAGAGTGCTCAACCATCACATCACTGAGTTTTATAAGATCCTCCAGGTTGACAGAATGTTCATAACTAAATTCATGTAAAGGCTCAAGGTTCTACATTAGAATACAATGCAACACTATAAATTACAAACAGAACACGAAAAAACTAAAAAGGATACGGTAATGCATCATTGGCAGCATCCAAATTGACAACTCGATCAAATGGTCAATGCAAACATTATAGACAGATTTAAAAACAAAAATTGAAGCCAAAAAACTTAAAAACCCACAAAAATACCAAAATCTTATAGGGGCTTCCTTATATTAATCACACACGAAATTACGAACAACAAAACATGAAAATTTTGAAAAGGATATGCCAATGCATCGTTGGCAGGATCTAGATTGGCAACTACAATTTTCTGCAAGCTGAAACGATGAAATGGTCAATGTAAACATTACAGACAGATTTAAAAACAAAAATTGAAGCCAACAAAAAACCAAAATCTTATAGGAGTCCTATTTTTCCCTCATTTTCCTACTTCGAAATAAAAACAAAAAACTCTAATTTGAGTGCCTACACATATAAACATCAGATAAAAATCGTAAAAAAAAATTCAAAACAACTGGAGAGATAACAAAAATGATAATAAAAAAAAACAACATAAAAAACTTCAATCAAAAGTTTAAGACACTTTAACTCACAGGAAGCTCTGTAACCAGTTGCTAGTGGCTGCATAGTGAAAAGACGACTTTGCTGCAAAATAATTAACGTAAGAAGTAGTTTAGTATAACTTAAAACACTCAGGGAAGATCATGGGTATAATTGTCATATACCAATTGATTCATAAATTGTGCCTATCCATCCAAGAAAAGCACCTATATGCACTGTGGTATGATAGATTTTTCATGTGTTCTAGATTCATCATCTGCAAAATAAGCATCTGTCGAACAACGTAAGTCTATAGAACCTTATCTTAATGGAAAAAAGAAACTACAAAATTTGAACTTCGAGCTAAAAGGCATTCATTAATTTCTTTATATCATTTGAATAAAAAATTATTGCATACAATGAATGTATCCAATTCACCACAGATTAGTAACCCATTCTAATTTGGTCAACATGATCGAATATGTGTGTGCGTATATATAGCCATTATATACAAATCCCTAACAGATGGAAGTGATCTCTTAAAACTTGATCTGGAGCTTCGTTCTCTTTCCCTGTTTGTCGTATATATTACATGGTTCCATTTTAAACATTCTGGCCAATGGCTATGGCAGTCCATCAGACAAATTAGATGGTTTAGTACATGCTCGATCTCTAGTCCTGTATCAATATTGTGTAGTGTGGAAACTTTATCTCAGGAAACCTCAATATGAAGATGAGATATAACATTTGAATCAAGAATTCACAGATACAAAAACTACTTAAAATAATTGTGAAAGTAAGTAATAAAAATTTGTTGTATGCCTATTACCTTCGCCAGACCCAAAAAAGGTTGGAAATGCTTGAAATTGGCCGGAAAAAAAACTCGCATCTTCGTCGGAAAAACCCACCTGCAAGTTGGGCTTATTGAACTCTTCGATCGAGGGGTAGATTCGAGCATGCAAAGCTCGAATGTTGTTGTTAGGACTCTCCTGAGTCATTGGAGAATAGCAAGGGGAAGAAGAGAGAAGGGATAAGGAGGGATAAAAAACTTTAAAAAAAAATTAATAGTGCATATTAATCTGATCCATGGACACAATTCGAATAAGGCTAAAACTGTGAGGTTGAGAGGCTCACCCAAAACATAAGAAATACCCGCATAAAAGTATTAACACACACAAATCATGTCATTTGAATCTCATATCATGTGCCGCAAGCCAAAACAAAAAATTTGAAATTCAGACCAACCAAAACAAACAAAAGTTAATTACCATGGAAGATTATCACAAAATCGCAAGACCTAGAAAATCTAAATTGAGCGCGTTCTACGGGGTGGAAGAAAGCACAAAAGCTATTGTCACGGTGGAGCAAATTGCAGACGGCAGGGTAGAGAAGACACCATCGAGAGAACTCAAGAATGGCGAATGTAGGGGATACCCCTTCTGAGATCAGCGAATAGAAACAAATGAGTTTTTTCGACTGATTTTCTCGCTTTTCCACCGCTTTCTTTTCCCTGATGACCAACACGTGTAGACGTTGCAGGATATGGTGAGAGAAAAGCAAAACGAAAGGTAAAGAATGAAACAGCAGAGAAATGGAACAGAAAAGGCCACGATGAAGAATGCATGTCGAGTGAGGACAAAGTCGCCCTTTTCAACGATGATCGACGCGTGGAGAGAATGAACGTTATTCCACTGTGCTGAGAAGTAAAAATGGAGAACGACACCGAAGCAAAAGGAAAACGGAAGACGGACTCGTGGGCTAGAAGGGCAAAGGCATCTTTTAGCTGTGTACAAAATGGAAAAAATGGCTGATAACAAAGGAATTGGAGGGCAATGCGGTCTGTTTATTGTTGGTGAACAGTGCACTCTCTCACATGAACAGTGATTTTCTGCTGAGCTTTGGTATATATAAATATTGAATTTGCAAGATATTAACAATACTAATTCTAATTTGAGTAGTATGGCTGTGAAGCTTGAAAAAAAAAAACAATAAAATTATTTTGTCTTTAATTTACTATATTACCCATAACTTTTAGTTTGGTCATTTTACTTTAGTTTTGTTGACAAGGTTAATTTGGTATTTTCACCATCTTTTAGTTGACAAAGAGGGTTTTATTAATAGGTAGTTTAAAAAAGAGAATTTTGTTAATAAGTAATTTAGCTGTCATTTTAGTGATGCATCTTTTTGCTCATTTGCTTGTGGTTAACGAACTTATACTATATACACATGTCCTAATTTAAATCGTTCAATCTTTTAATCATCATTTCAAGGTGACCTGTGAAAAATTGCAATCAGAAATCCACTAAGTGACTCACTCATGTCTATCATACAATCCCACAATTTTGATAGTAATTCAAATTCTCACGAAAATCACCTATGTGTTTGTGAAAATTTTAAGATTTATAATTTAAAGGCACATGTAATGGAAAATATCCTCACAAAAATTCCTCAACTCTCTCTTTTTTCTTTGTTGTCGTACTCTCCTTCTCCTTGCAGTAAACTAGACCACATCATGTTATCAAGAAGGCTTATGACGCTATGCTAAGGAACTGTTGACCCTAAAAACTACCAAGCCTACGTGGCGCGCAGGCCGAGTAACTAATGAGCTAACTACATCCTTCGGTTGTATGCGGGCGTGCCAACTCGTCGGCCGAGGTTGGACAAGGAGTAAAATATGTTGATGTTGCATTGGGTGTGATGCTGACTTCTTGATCTTGTGACAGTGACCAAGGAAGGAACACGTCTCGGCCTTCGGGTTCTAGAGCCTGAAGACAAGGCTGCTAGTTCTGCGAAATTCAATATCAAATTCAGCTTTCAATGTGTCGAATGTAGTAACTTGTAACACCTCACTTCGCCGAGAAGGCTAATGAGATGACCTCTGCCAATAAGGATTTGAAAATCCTTCTCGACCGAGAATTAGATAGATAACCAGTCAGCCTCGACGCAGTGTTGTTTATCCAAACTGAAGGTGCTCCATGATCGGATGATTCTACGGCAACAGTGCTGTTTATCCAAAATGAAGATGTTCGTCGGTTGCCTTCACAGTGTTGTTTATCCAAACCGAAGATGTGTTGGCAAAAAATAAAATAAAAATCTCAAGATGTTTGAGAGGTTTCACGCAATCCTTTGGAGTCTGATATGATAAGCCAATTCGAGGGAATGAATTGATGATCACGTCACTTGTTCTCTTATAATCAACCAGTCCTTGATAGCATCATACAACAACAGTAGGTACATAATGAGATGATGTTTGTCAATTATGTGTTTCACGGAAGTGGTTGAATCCTTCTTATTAGCCCTTCTATGTGAATGAAATGTTATAATAAAATAGGATCCCTTCTAGCAACGTTTACGTCTTCGTCGAACTTACTTAAACCTTGTATTTAACACCCACAATTTCTGCATTGGCCGAATTTCTTGACGAAGAATTAGGTTGCCATTAAGCTTTTTCTTTGTTTCCTTGTGGATCATAGTTTGTTTGTATGACTCGCCTAGATTTTCTTTAAATATGAATGCTTGTACTGCTGGACAGTCCAATTCAGCAACATAAATTGTATTAGTAGTCATCTGCCCTGTCTCCAACAGTGTGTTAGAGAGCTGATCATGCGACATATTAGATGTTGAATTTTGTGAACCCCCCTAACATATTAACACTCATGTCTTCCTGCAGGCTTTGTGGGAAAGGTTTTGGTGGCACATGAACATGGGTAGCACTCGGTTCTGGCGGGATTATAAGATCAGCATGTGCTGTTTTCTCCCCTGGACGTGAATGGGTGGCAGATTGCTCTTCAACTCCTACACCAATCTCCTCTTGATCATTAAAGCTCTTCCCATAGTTTAATGCTTGAATTAGAAATCCTTCATTGGTTATTTAAATGTATAAGTCAGTTAATTCCAACAATTTAGAGAGCTTGTCCCCCACTGAAAGCTCTTGTGGCACATTAAGCTGCTCAAAATACTGCCCAAGATGCTCTTTCAAACTTTGAGTGTAGAACTGTGAATGGGGATTATTCCAGTTCCATTTTGAATCGTTTCTCATATATATATACTCTTGGACATAATCTGGAAAATATTTCCTCTCAGGACATTGCAAAATATCATGGGTCCTTGAATTGCAAAGAGCACAAATTGTAGGCTTAAATCCATAATAACCCTTTTCTGCTAATGACGCCCAAAGAGGTGGTCCACCGGGTGTTAGATTGAATTCAGGGGGAACTGCAAATTCCATTGTTGCACTGCTAAAAAAGAAACAACTTGTAACCTACCTAACAAAATCAGCAATTAAATAAAAAGATATATACAAAAATAATTAACTAAGAGTTGATGTGCACAAATTATTTAAAACAATCCCCGGCAACGACGCTATTTTCTTGATAGGGATTTTACTACTCATGTGAACGGGATAAAAATTCCTATAATACTTGCAAGAATTACAAGGTTGTTGTAGTATAAACGGATCTTGCAAGATCGTTCTCCACAAGGATGATTAAATAATTCAAAGCAAACCAAATTCCAATTAATTACTGTAAAGTAGAAATTGAGAAGATTGATTTTATAACCTACTTAAATTAAAAACAAATTTAATTAATAAAAGTAAACTAATCTGCAATATTAAAGATGAAAGAAAAGGAAACAGTTTTTGAAAAATCAAATTAAGAAAACACTAGGGTTCCACCATCACCTAGCAATCCTATGAACTTTTACTAATTACTTATGATCTACACATGCCACTTTGAAGGTTAGATTTTCCTAATTTATATTCTACTTGGAACCTCCAAGATAGAATGTATATCTAACTTGCAACCCGTCCGGACGTTCGGATCAAAGCTGAACATGAAAGACTCATTATGCTTTTTGAAAACCCTTTGAAAACTATGCAATCCTTAAGACGTGGTGTTCATCCTAAGTGAAATTACAATTATTAATCACAAGAAGCCAGCGTCAATTTCAGGGATTACTTTTCTAAAAATCCTAATGGTGATCAGGCATTAAGACAATTAGATAGTTTTTATCCCGGTGATTAACAATTCAAAGTATACATGCAATCAATCATAAGCAATTAAATAAAAATCACATATTCATGCTAAGGCTCAAGGTTTCGCCCTAGCAAAAGAAATTAGTTACGCATATTCATAATTAAAATCATAGAAAATATATTTAGAAAAGGATTGAAAGCACATTCAAGTAGAAAATCTCCAAAACCATAGCAATTCTCTGTCTCCAAAATTGCATAAAATAAAGCGTAGAAAAAATGTAGACGGCCAAGCAATATATCTGCTAAGCCCCCACACAAACCCTAAAAACAGGTCATTTCTTCCTGATGAGTAGATTTTATATTATATATTTTACCCTAATCTTAGTATATTTTGGTTAATATTTTGGAAGAATTTTGATACTTTGAATTTTATTTTCAATATAGGACTTTCGACTTCCTCTGGAGCAAAACAGGATCAAATGGACGAATTTTGGAGTAATTCCAGTTGGAGGACGTTCGTGAGTCACTTAGCTTGATCGTATCAAAATTTGGGATTTTTCCACCAGGCGGTTATTTTCTGGCGATGAAATAAAGAAGCAGTGCGCAGTGCTGGAAAATGACGTTTTTGGGCTTAAATGACGTTTTTGGAGCCCAAGATGACCTCGGATGGGTTCGTGGCCTTCTGGAAAAGTGTTCAGAATATTCCAAACATCAAATCCAGCTATATTGGGCCAGTTTTGGAGCAGCTTATGGGCCAAAACGTGGCTGTTCAGATTTTAGACGAATTTTACTATTTTTATTTAGGGTTTTTATTAATTAGTTTGCTAGGGTTTGTGTGGTGGCTTAGCATATATATTGCTTGGCCGTCTACAGTTTTAGGGGACGCTTTATTTTATGCAATATTGGAGACAGAGAGAAGTGCTAGGGTTTTGAAGATTTTCTACTTGAAGGTGTTTTCAATCATTTTCTTAATAATATTTTCTATGATTTCAATTATGAATATGCGGAACTAATTTCTTTTGCTAGGGCGAAGCCTTGAGCCTTAGCATGAATATGTGATTTTTATTTAATTTCTTATGATCGATTGCATGCGTACTTTGAATTGTTAATCACCGGGATAAAAACTATCTAATTGTTTTAATGCCTGATCACCATTAGGATCTTTAGAAAAGTAATTTGATGCAATTTTGGTCGGAAGGTTCCCTGAAATTGATGCTGGCTTCTTGTGATTAATAATTGTAATTTCGCTTAGGATGAATATCACGTCTTAAGGATTGCATGGTTTTTCAAAGGATTTTCATAAAGCATAATGAGTCTTTCATGTTCATATTTGATCCGAACGTCCGGACGGGTTGCATGTTAGATATACGTTCTATGTTGGAGGTTCCAAGTAGAATATGAATTAGGAAAATCTAACCTTTAAAGTGGCATGTGTAGATCATAAGTAATTGGTAAAAATTCATAGGATTGTTAGGTGATGGTGGAACCCTAGTGCTTTCTTAATTTGATTTCTCTCAAAACTGTTTTCTTCTCTCTAATCCTAATATTGCAGATTGTTTATTTCAATTCATTAAATTCGTTTTTATTTTAATTAGGTTATAAAATCAATCACTTCAATTTCTATTTTACAATAATTAAATGGAATCTGATTAGTTCGAATTATTTAATAATCCCTGTGGAGATGACCTTGCGAAATCCGTTTATACTACAATAACCTTGTGATTCTAGAGTTTGTCTCTAGAAAGTGAGTGTCATTGCTTCTAAAGTTGTGTCTTTGAGTGTTTTGAATGTTGTAATATTTTGTGAGTGTAATACAAATAATTTGTTTACTTGTTTTGTCTCTCCAACACTTGTGTTAGAGTTGTGTACTCTAAGTTTTTCTTCAACAAGCCCTGCTCAGAGGGAACTAGGAAAACAAAGACTTAATAAACACAGACAGATAGCATAGCACATACCTAGGAGTCTGGGAGGGAACTAGTTCAAGTTCTAGCCCTTATTTTTTGCTCCATTTTTAAATTTAATTTTACCTTTTTCAACAACGGCAGGGCGATAAAGTGGTGGTGGGGTGACAACTGATTGGTATATATTTCTCAAGTCTTGACTCTTGATGTCTGACAGGGCGGGTCTTCCTCGAGAGCTTATCTTCTCTTTAGTTGAACGTATGGGTTCCTTGGAGGAGTTCATTGTTTTTGGTGCAGTTTGTAAATCGTGGAGATCAGTTGCGACCAAAGAAAACTAGGACCGAAACATCAATTCCCACTCCTTATTCTTCCACAGGAGAAGGGTGCTGCCACCCGCAAGTGTTACAACCTGAAGAAACGTAAGATTTGCGAACTAAATCTGTCCGAACTTGAGGACAAGCTTTTCCTCTCTTCTTTGGGATGGCTGCTGACCGTATCTAAAAAAGATTTAAAATTTTGTTTGATACATCCCCTAAATCATGCCCGGATTGAGCTGCCACGTCCGGTGCCTAATATGGCACCCAACTTGTTGTCCAATTTTTCCATAAGGAAGTTTGTCTTATCAACCAGCCCGTCTTGGACCTCAAATTTCATTGTCATGGTTTATCAGTCTCAAACTGTATCATTTTGCAAACCAGGACACAGTGAACATTGGATAAAAGTATGTCTGCACACACCAGGAACATTAAATGATCTAACTTATTACGAGGCACAACTTTATGCCGTGAACTATTATGGTCATGTTTTTATTTGTGATATTGAAGATCCCAAGCAAGCAGAAGTAAGGATTGTTGCTCCACAATTTCCAAAGGAATATTTGGGTCCTATGATGCAAATTAAAGTAGCTTGTCTGGTGGAATCAGCCGGGGACCTGTTGGTGGTTTTGTCTTTTTTCAACCCGAAGACAAAGTTCCATTCAACTATTGGCTGCAGAGTTTTCAAGGTCCCATTTAGTGACGGCAATTCATGGTTGGACTCGGAGGTAAAGAATCTGGGTAATAGATCCCTGTTCTTGTGCATAAATGCTTCTTCTTTCTCTGTTGTGGCCTCAGACTGTTCTGGATGGAAGCCGATTTGCATTTACTTCATGAATAATGAGCGTGTTCATCTAAGAGTAGATATAGACATGGGTATCTTTAATATGGATGATGGACAAATCGAGCGGCCCTTTGATAATTCCTTTAATACCTGTTATAAAGGAAGGAATTATGAAACATCACATTTGTGGATTGAACCAAGTTTCTAAATAGGATGTGCTAGCTCGCTTCTTGTCCATCATCTTTTATTTATACTGAGGGTGCATATGGATTGTACCAAAGCGTATTCTGTTTTTCCATTTGTTTTTCTTTTCTTAATTTGATCAATGTAATTTTTCGACTAGTTGACCTTTTGTTTCAGCTCATTGTTATTATTCTTTTATGTTTTTCCACGTTTTCATATCCCCGGTTGTGGCTTGATTTCGGCTGTTCTAATATGTTATCTCCTGCAGCAATTGCCGGCCTTATATTTGCATCTTGTCTACCTTGGCTTGATCCCCGTCGGCATCTTGATCTCTATCAAAGGATTCCGACAATTCTACCTTGGATCCTCCAGTGCATTTGTATCCTTTTGAATTCGGTAAGCTTTTCCTTCTGATTATAAGACTGCACATACAATGATGGTAACTTTGTTTCGTTTAGAGTCTTATTAATTTGTACTACGAGTTTCACCATCGAGGGTACCAATGTATCAAACACGGGTATAAATTTGTTTTACTTGACCAATCAAAGGGTATCCTAGTGGTTATTCTTCTTGATGCTTTTAATTGGTATTTGGCTTTTCAAATGTCTACTTTTTAGCACACATTTGCAGGTATGTCCTTGTCCTAAAGGTTCGATGAGACTTAATTTAAAGATTTGGTGGCAAATAGCAATATGTGATTCCCTTTGCTCTATATCATCTCGCAAAGAAGTTCTCTTTTTTATATTAATACGTTACGAAAATTGAATCAAGTCTAATTGAAACTAAGTTTGCATCTTTTGATTCATCAAGTTATATATCAGTACTCTTGTCAACTTTACTCTCATGATGTTTAAATGGTCAGTGAATTTTTAGTTAACTTTTTAATCTGCTTTTACTTATTGGTATTATTTGTAATGGTTATAAAGTAGCACTGGATCCTCAATCCTTTTACCAATAGTCGTAAACGAAACGCCCCTGTAAGAGTTACAGTAGAAAGCTTATACGATAGTTCCCAAGCTCAGTCTTCTGTTTTGGAAAGAGCAAAGAAGATCGAAGCAAGTCTAGATCATAAGTTTCCTTCACTACTCAAAGTTATGATGCCGTCAGAAGTTTCAGGAGGATTCTGCCTTGTAAGCCTCACTCACTCTTGTCAACAATTTGTGCAGTTATCTGAATGCATTGACTAATTAGGATGAAATACTTATTTGAACCGACTTTGGTTTGGCAGAATCTTGCTAAGAAATTTCGCAGTGAATATATGCCAAAACAAGATTCAATGATTGTTTTGGAAGATGCAAAAGGGAAGGAATTTGGAAGGAAGTATCTTGTGGAGAAGGGGGGACTGAGTGGTGGATGGAGAGGGTTTTCAATTGCTCACAAGATAATGAAGGGAGATGTTGTGATTTTCCATCTAGTCACTCCTTTCAAATTTGAGGTAACTGATGGAACCTTCCTGAAATTTAGGTGCGGAATCTTTGTTCCAAGTTCCATTATGTAACATATAGTTTGTTGATGCACAAAATCAGTGAGGACTTTGGTACAACAGAAAGTGTCAGGTTTTGTGACCTTCGCTTGGTTGCTTCAGTCACTAGTGAGGATAAGTACGTAAATGAATAGAGACAGAAAAGCAAACACAAGATATACATGGTTCACCCAAATTGGCTACGTCCACGGAGTAGAGGAATTCTCATTGATTGTGAAGGGTTTACACAAATACATAGGTTCAAGCTCTCATTTTGTGAGTTCTAGTGAATAGTTTAGTACAAAATGACATTAGAGATTATTGTGGGAGAATGATCCCTATTTATAGAAGAGAGTTTCTAGTTTTGTTCTTACATTGACACGTGTCCTGTTGTGATTGGCTTCTGATGTTGACACGTGTCGCGCTGTGATTGGCTTTTGATGTCGACACGTGTCGCATTGTGATTGGCCTCCTGGTTGAAGGGAAGCTCTTCTGGGTCCTTGACGGTATAATGTTGACCGATGCTCAGTAGTTTCGGGATTGGTCAAGTATGGTAGAAACATAGTTGAACTTGACAAATTTGGAAAAGGGGCAGAATAAGTTGGTAATTGTACATTAAAAAGGGCAGAATAAGTTGGTAACTGTACATTTTTTTGAGTTTGCCAAAAAAATTTTTCTTAAATTTAGATGGGTTTCCCCTGAATGGAAATTTTGAGAAAAAAAGGATAAGATCTATGACATTTTATTGCTTTCAGGTGCTACTTCTGAATGCGTACGAGACACTCAATTCTTTTGCTACCTACTTGTTGCAGGTGTATATCGTTAGATCAAATGAAGTGGACTGGAGTCTTCCTCTTATGAGGGTAGATCCTCCCATCAGACAGATGGATATCGGTGGTAAGTTGTTTCAAAACTCATCAAGTTATGTGTGGCAAGTGGCATCGCAATCATAAACAACTCTTATCTTTTCTGATCCTTGCATGTGATTTAAATCACGCCGGAGGCTTTACTGCATGTGGAAAGGAAGAACGTGAGAATTTGGAACCTATTCCACAGGAGAATGCAATAGTCTGTTATACAGACTCTGGTCCAACATCAGATCAGTCTGAAAATGACGGCGAAGATGTTGGTTCTGAATTTCTGGATGGTCTTAGACTTTCAGAGTCTGTTGTCACTTTCAAAGAAGTTCACTGTTTGGACAACTTTCACGTTCAGGTCAATGGTTTAATCATAAACTCTGAATTTTCGAAATACTTCCTGACCTAGTATTATGAGCTCTTCTGCAGTCAGAACTCCTTCCTTCATGAACAACTTGTCGAGGGTCTGAACTGCAAACTGACTGCCGGAGTAATTTTTGAGACAGTCAACATTGCCGATGCCATCAGGGCTTGCAAGATCACTACCCCGGAAGGTTATCTTTCGACTTGGGATAAGACTCTGAAAGCCTTTGATGATTTAGGCATGAATGTCTGTGTTCCCGCGTGCCCGCCTGGACCAGCTTACAAGTGTTGCTTCAAAATAAAAAAGACCTGAGGCAAATGTTTTGGAAGTGAAAGAGGCCATGAATAGCCTTGACTCGGAGATTGAGACTCCGAATACGAGTTTAGAGGAGCGGGAAATTCTGTTCCAAGAAATGGCTAAAGCCCCTTGGTGATGAGAAAACTTGAAAGAATCTGGTTACTCTTTTTGGGTATAACTTAAAAGATATAATGCCAAAGCTAGGTGAGGAAGAAATGCGCATCTTCTGCCGTTATCACTCAGCATTTTGGGTTTTTATATAGATGATTGTTATATGCCAGTGCTGCATAAAAAAGTAAAACTCACAAAACCTCGCTATGGTAAAACCAAAGGTGGGAGAAAAACTCATAGACTAAGGAGAAAAGTGAGAAGTTGCATTAAGTCAAAACTATACGTCTTTTGGACGCAAGTAGAAGAGCTCACAAGGGTATGATTAGCCCAGGATGGGTGCCTCGTTAAAACCTAATTAGGTAGTAAAAACCTAGTGGGAAAAATGCTCCTAATCGTAGGGAAAAAGAGTACATTAAGATCAAGTGAGTATACGTCTAGATACTCCCCCTGAGTTTGACTTAACTTCCAAATGAGAACTACAAGCATTGCATATGATAATTAGGCATACCAATTCCTCGGACAAGTTTCTGGAAAGTTGACTTCGGCGGTGATGTCGTGTAGAGGTCGGCAAGGTTGTCTGGGATCAACTTGCATGACTTCAATCTCCTGATGCTTTGCTATGTAGATATAAACTCAATATGTCATGGCGTTGACTTCGTTGATGTATCATGGCTTGGTCGGGTTGATACATGCGGCATAATCTTCATGGATCGTCGTTCGGACTCAACGATGGATGAAAACACAGCAAGTACTTCAAAATATGTTCAACAAGAACTCATAAGCATGTCTCACTTGTGGCATAGTGAAGTGAGGTGAGTCTTGGAACGATTCGAAAATTTCGCAACTAAGGTCATATCATGGACCCCCAAGATATTATGATATCCCTAATGGTAAAGACATAATCATTTGGGAATTTTTCCTTTTGCGGGTTTGATAGTAACATGCGTCAGCATAACAAACAAGGCAAACATCATTTCGAGGATCAGGAGGGTTAGATCTGCTCGAGATGCGTTGGGATTTGCCCATGTAGTAGTACCTTCATGGTACATCTTTAATACCAATTTAGTGGTTGTGTGTAGGCGCGGTGCTGCATCTTTACCAAGATCAACAACGAAGGAGATATCTTGTCTAAATACAATGGACTAAGTACAACGAAGTGCAAAGTTGAACTTAGATATGGAATTTCGGATTCCATAATCTCTTCAAGGGTCTCATTTGCATATAACGTATGGATGATCAAAGGTATACTCAAAGGTGACACATTGAGGGTGTAGTTCGACTGGTAGACCAAAATACCGTCATAACAATGCTTCAACTTCAGGTCAAGGCATAAACGAGTTTTCCCAAGATCCTTCATCTTAAATTCCATCTTCAGGTACGAGGCAGTTTTCTCAAGCACTTCCGGAGTCTTAGTGAGATTCGTGATAACGACATAAACTGTAACTCTAGCAATTCGAAATAAGACTTCATAATTTAACACGCAAAGGAATAATTCATATCCCTGACTGATCAAATAATCACTTAGATGGGTATACCACTTCCGTCAGATTGTAGTGAATGCCTCAAACAAGTTAAGAGGGTGTTCTGTGGTTTGGAATTATTTGAACCAGTCCATGTAATTCTTCGGGAACTTACATGTCAATCTTCATATCTATATCCATATGGAGAAAACACTAACCACATTTCATCATGCTGCTATCAATCATAAGACGTTTTAAGAGAAACCTTGCATCGTAAGGCTTGCATCATATCGCATTATTTCATTCATCTCATAACGCTTCATTTCCCACTTGTAACACAATAAGGTTACCTTGGACAGTGTAGGAACAACAGGACAAAACACACTTTGGTAAGGAATTTGACTTGGATTGTAACTTTAGTTGTCTAATCAGTTCTACGTTGTCACTTAATCAACGGAACATGGTTCGATATCG